TTTGGCGAATCTGTATTTATCACATAATGTATGGTTATTTGTTACTATATCTTACAAATATTTTAAACTGTATAAACAAATTTAAAAAGAGAAAAGCTATATAAAAAAAGGATATTGAAGTGGAATTACCTGTAACATGTATGCATAAAAGTCTCTACATGTACATGATGTTCCATTTTCATTGTGGCTATTTATGTCCCACCCATAACTCCCATGAGGAAGTAATAAAGGATATTGAAGTGGGTCATAATACCCAGCAACATCTTGAACATAAGTTGTCCGCTAGTAGTTTGAACAGCAATATCTCTTCCTTTAATTGCATCACCGTCGGCACCATCTATGAAAACAACCACAACTTGTGATATAGTTGGAAGACTATATTGGTGATGAGTTGACGGTTGCTCGCTGATTATAAGCTTGCAAGTATTCAAATCTTGACGATATGAAATGTGGCGAAACATATGCACAAATGGATTGTACTGATCTAAGACATGCTTTATTTTCTCTACAACTTGTCTGTTCAGGCCATTGTTTTCCAGTATGTAGTTGTCAATTTCATGCTCAGTATCGTATATATAAATCTATAAAAACTTTGGTCTGGTTCCTGCAGTAGGTAAAATGCTTCCAATTTGGTGGTAGATTGAACCTTGTGCTCTAAATGTGCACACTCCACTTCTAGCATTTGCAAATTGTTCATCAACATTTACGCCCATTGAAGTAAAAGAGAAGACGTGATTGTAAGTTCGAATATATTGTCTGAAATGCATGCCTTGTGATGTTTCATCTGAGAATAACTGAAGAAGTTTGATAAGTGCTGGTATGAGGGGCAAGTTAGTCTTTCCATTCAAGCAACTTAACTTCTTAGACTCAAGATGAAAGAGTTTTGCTGCACAGTGCCAACATGTTTATGGTGGCGGTAATTGAACCTTTTGAAACCCATGAGATTCACTAAAATTCTGTGCACAATTCTATTGTGCATTTGTGGCATTTCTTTGTTGGACATGGCTATTATGAGATCGAGCTGATTATCCATGTTCATATACAGGTTGTCTCATCTCAAGTGATTCTCCATTTTCATATACATATTGGCTCATTTGAGGTCATCGGCTTGATTCTCCACGTACATAAACAAGCTGCCTCATTTGAGGTCCTCGGCTTGAATCTCCATGTTCATAAACAGACCGCCTTACATTATTAGATGATGTAGCAGTTTGTGTCGACATTGTGGCTGATTCAGTTGTCATTTTTGGAGGTGATAATTAAAACGACGGCGTGCTAGATGTTGTTGTCATTGCTCTGAACTCATTGCTTGCATTCTGATTCGGTAATTGTTGCGTTGCCTAGCACGTATTTCACCAAGGTCTGTAGATGTTGGACTCATTGCATTGACTTGCAATTATAATGCTATATCCATGAAAGTGATTGAAAAATAAGTTATTAAAATTGAAAATACAGTAAACAAAAATGAGAAAATACAACTAAGATTGACAAACATAGTAACAAAAATAACCATGTCCCTTTTTTTTCCAATGAGTTTGTCACTTGCCTTGTCTTTAGTTACAAAGAAAACCCCAATTGGTTTCTGTATTCAATGTGAAACAACACATCACAAAACCAGGAATGAAGAAACATAGTACGTGCATGATGACCTACCTTCTTTAAAGCTAATTGAATGACTACAAAATTTATTTCTTTGTAATTCTCTTAGTACTCCGTCGGTGAACTTCCTCCTACACTCCTTTGCAATTGTTGCAAATATGTAATTGGTAAGTTAAACAATTGAAAGGATGCTTTCTCTCAATGAAACTAATAAAACTGAAGATCCAATTCCAAAAGCTATTAAGAGAATTAAAATTAAACCTGGGCTCAGCAATTTGGAAGGAGGCCATTGAGATTGAGTGATGATGATGATTACTCTGAACAACCTTGGTGCTACCATAGGAAGGAGAGGCCCCCATAACCAACGGAAGCGGCTGACTTATGGCGATCAACAACAGCAGAAGCAGGGGTGGGAACAGTAATGAATTCTTTTAAATCAAAACGAATTGGGCATCTAAAATGGTAAAAGTATGAACAAAATTTTGAAGTTTCTTCAACACGTGGGAGTTTGAGGTAAGTGAAATCATGATGCTTGCGGTTGAGGAGAACGTGGGAGGGAAGAGGTGGGCAGTTGAAGAGGGTTTTGGCGAGAGAGCTGCAAAGAGAAGTCCATGAGAGTTGATGAGAGAGAATCAGGAACAAAGGGAGCTTGAGGAGTGTGGGAGGGTGGTTTTTGGATGTTTTGGCGAGAGTGCTGCAGAGAAGTCAGTAGTGGTGAGGAGAGAGAGAAACAGGAACGAAGAGAAATTTTAAATAAAATATGTTAGCATTACATGGCTGTGATGCTCAACTAAAAAACAGTAAAATTTGCAATCATGTAATTACTAAATTGCCTATATTTTTAATTTCTGCTCAATTTTAATGTGGAGGTTAAAGTGGTAATTTCATTTACTTTTGGTTGACCAAGATGGAATAGGCAGAGTGTACAATCAGGAAGTTGGGAAAAGTTTTCAGGGTTTTGGGTGTAAATACCAATTTCTAAGCCCTATCCAAAAATACGAGAAAAAAAACTTAGGAGTCCAGTAAGCCCATGGTAACCAAAATAGTCCATTCTTGTCCTCCTCCTCTTCTTCTTCTTCAAACCCCTTCTTGTCTGTGGGGGGCTCCAAAAGCAAATTCTGGGTGCTTCAGGCAGAGACTGCAGCATCACGCCCAAAAGGTTTGAACTTTGTTATGCGATTCAGAAGCAAATTCTTAGTGTTTAATCAAGTTTCAAATTTTGATTAGGGACTGTGTTTATAAAGCGCATGAACCGGTTATATGAACTCCTTTCGGTTTTGGCAGGAAAGAAAAGGATCAATTAGTTAAAAGAGAAGCCAAGCTTGATGTGTATTCAACAATTAGCTTTAGTATCCTATGTTCAACAGGTCTGTATTGGGAAATGCCAAAAACGAAATCGGCACATATTTGCCACTCAATACACAGATCTTCAATATACATATATATTTTTGGTTTGGAATGGGCTCAAGGATTCATGTGTCTTCCCTTCTTTTTCATATGTTTCCCAGGAAAGAAACAGTAATTTTGCAGGACTTTTTCACCAAAATGGTTAGGGTTTACTGATTTAGTATTGAGAAACCACATGATGCAATGAATTGTGAAACCTTCAAATTTCTTTCTTGTTTTCTTCGATTAAGTTTAAATTTTCACTTTGTATTGGTTGATCCACTTTCTTTTGAGTTGAACTTTGTTTTCCATTTTTTATTAGTGTTGGTTGATTTCCATGTATGAACTTATAATTTTTTCTCTATTTTCTGGAGGTTTTTTGGTTAATTTATAAAGTGAACTTTGTTTTCCAGCAGCAGCCATAAAACGAGGAATTCAGAGCTACCTCTCAAATCCTTAGTTCGGCCATTCGGCTCCAATAAGCTCAAGTAGCGGCAATTGACCTAGGCCTTGGAACTGTACTTTGTTCTACTTGCTTTGGTTGCCTGCATTTCTTTTCTTGTGTCTACATGGCGGATTCGGGTGAAAATAAAGAGCCTGGAGAAGGTATTTTTTGTTCTTGATGAGTTTTGTTTATATGCTTACGTTGCATATGCTATGTACACTATTCATAGTTTTTTTGCATTTACAGTTTGCAACTTCTTCCGGAAGCCATCAAGGAGGCAGAACATTAGAAAGCGAAGGACTGATGAAGATGAGGAGGAGGACGATTCAAAGTCTGGGACATCCTTATCAAACCAAAGAAAGGCCCAAAAGTCTGATGGCAAGCTGTTTTTTTCTACCGGACCCTCCAAGAGCTCTGTATCTGATGACAGAGCAGTCTTTGAGTTTGAGTCTTCAAAAGAAATCCAAGTTGAAAATGATAGCAGAGCAACAGCGACTATGGAGACTGAGACTGAGTTCTCCAGAGATGCACGAGCAGTTCGCGAGAGAGTTCTCAAGCAGGCAGAGGAGGCTTTGAAGGGAAAGGGCAAAACTACTGGCAATGAAAAGTTGTATAAAGGGATCCATGGATATACTGATTACAAGGCTGGGTTCCGAAGAGAGCTAACAGTGGCCAGTGAGAAAGCAGGAGGTGCACATGGGCCTCTCAGGGCTTCTGCTCACATCAGGACATCCACGAGATTTGATTATCAGCCAGACATCTGTAAGGATTACAAAGAGACTGGTTACTGTGGGTATGGAGATTCCTGCAAGTTTATGCACGATCGTGGGGACTACAAGTCAGGCTGGCAGATGGAAAAAGAGTGGGATGAAGCAGAAAAAGCAAGGAAGAGAAAACTAGCTATGGGTGAGGATGATGTCGACGAGACTGAGGAAGATGACGACGACGAAGATGATGCTGGGTTGCCCTTTGCATGTTTCATCTGCAGGCAGCCTTTTGTTGATCCTGTAGTAACTAAGTGCAATCATTACTTCTGTGAGCATTGTGCACTAAAGGTGACCTCTCTTTCTTAACGTGTCCATCTGCATTCTCATTGTTGCAGTAACTTTACGACATTCAGTTATGGTTTTTGATTTATGAATCAAGTGTATCAAGTATAACAGGCTCTTTCTGTTTCCATGTGTTTCTTTCAAGTATTTTCTAACCATATGCTTTTCATTCACAGCATCATTCGAAGAACAAGAAATGCTTTGTCTGCGACAAGCCTACACTTGGCATATTCAACACAGCTCATGAGATACGGAAAAGAATGGCTGCAGAGGGTAAATAGCTGCTACTACTTATTGCCTTCTTTGCTTTGAAGTCATGTGGCAGCATTAGTTCTTCGCCTCTACCTCCTTTGGTTAAGTGTTGAAGTGAGAGTTCACTTTTCATTGTATGATAAAATTTAGAAATGCATAACAATTGTGGCAAAGCTGGTGGAAAACTTTATTACTCGCCTTTGCTTATCGGAATTAATAGTCAGCTTTATTTGATTTGGTGGTTGTGTCGGAATTCATGCTTGTGCTTACTTACTCCTCCTTGTTTAGTATTAAAGAAAATTACAATTCTGTACTCCCAGTTGTAGTACCCTTTTAAATGACTCTTCACAGGGACTGGAAAATTTACATTTTATTCAGGGTGAGTCAAGGATGAGTTCATAGATACAGAGACGGTTAGGATGTAAGAGATGTACACGAAACAGAGAGAACGAACTAAGTCCTCTACTTATTTTCTTATGAACATCCTCTATATGCATGTCGAAACCCCCACACACAAAACAATGATTTTAAACTCCTGTGAGTATCTCCTTGGTTACCAACCCGCTGCTCTCCAGATTACTTTCATGGTTCCAGGAGTGTGGAGATGGTGAAGTAAGTAGCGGCCACAATAGATTCCTTTCTTTTCTCACTTTCCGAACAGCTGTCCTTGTGTATTTCCTTAGGACTTGATTCACAGCCTTTAGATAGTTGCTTGAGTCATGGTCTCGTAGAATTGTACCGTCTGAACCATAAGCTGTAGGATCACTTAGGGTTTCTAGTGGATGGGGAGAGTTCAAGAAAGTCGTAAGGACACTTGAAGAGAATCCACGTTGGGTCTTGTCCAAAGCATAGAGGGCACTCCCCGGAGGAAGTAGAGGGTGTGGAGGAGATTCATTCTCATCAGGTTGGAGAATGATTAGTTTGCCCATCGGAGAATATAATATTTTCTGCATAGAAGAAACACACACAATAAGAAATGAATTAGAAAACTTGCCCTAAGTAAAAGTTCAGTAGATAAGTTATCGATATCAAGTTCTAGGTTTTCGTATAACATTTTACTGCATAGCTAAAGCCTTCTGAGCACGAATAATATTCTCTGAGGTTAAAGTGGTAAGTTGCAGATGAGTTTAAAGCCGTAACCCATAATTTGTGACGGTATATGATTTAATGATGGTGATACTTACATTTTTTATTAGACAAGGGTGTGACCGAAATGAATTTAAACGCTTGAGAAGTGTGGCCACATAGTTAGGGTAGTTGCAGGAGAAGGCTCTAGGGACGATATCTCTATGCATCATCACGGAATGGATTTGACCCTCGTCCACTCCCAGTCTGTCGAGTACTTTCTGGCCTCCACAGAACACAAATGGCGAGCCAAATGTGACAACTGGCCGAAGAGTAGAGGGTTTTACACACTTCCTACTCAGCAGCATCAAGTGGACCAAGAGAGAAAGGCTTCCTCCAAGAGAGTGGCCTGTAAACTGAAGCTTCGCTCGCTCACCGTGTCTATTCAAGTGTTCAGTTATTTCTGGAATAAATCGCTCGTACATTCCCTTCGCTGCTTCGTAGATTCCTCTGTGAACAAGCACAGCTGTCCCCTGTACAAGAATATGAAGATGTTATGACTAATAATTTTCCTTCCTTCTGAGACAGTAGTAAGGGTGTTATCTGCATCTATGCTTACCTCGAATTTGGTAGGTTCGAAGAACAGGTTTGCCTGCCAGGATGCAAGGGAGTCGGAACCCTGCAGGTAAGAACAATTCGCATGTCAAAGCATTTACAAATATGTTCTTCGGTATCTCTTTCTTTCAGAAATCAGAATGATTTTGCCACATGAAATCTGTCTATTTAATCCCACATTTGGATTTGAAAGACTGTTGGAGAGCTATTATCAAACACAGATCCAGAGGAATGAAGGGGTAAAAGTTTACCTGAATCACGAAACATCGAGTATACGTACTGGCATCATCACAGACAAACCATTCACAAGGTGAGGACTGGAGTGACCGAAGGTCCTTTGCTGTTTCTTGTTTCTCCTTTTCCCCTGCTGCAACCACTGCTGTCATTGTTGACGCTGCCATGGAAACTGCCACCTCTGGCTTATAGCTTCGAGGTGAGTACCCTCCTTCCTCTCGTGAATTGTCGCCATCACCCTCCTGCTGCGATTTGGGCCCAAGTGATAGGCTGTCCTGATTGCGTGACCGCACATAAGATGCAGCTGAGGCAGCAATATTATAAGCAACAGCAGGACGGCATGGACGCTTCTGCCCAGCTTCTACAGCTTTCTCCGAACTGGATTCACTAGCTACTTCGGCAGCTACAGGTACACAATTAGAGTCGTCATCTAGTTTTGCTTTGATTTCATCTTCGGCCTTCTTCTCTAGTGAAGTTGTTACTAATCGTAGGCCATAATATCTCTTTATATAATTTTCCTGCAAATGAATTAGAAGTACGAATTTATTTATCGTGCTTGAAATATCGAAACTCGGTTCGTGCGTTATGCTGAACAAACACATACCTTGATTTGTGGCATCGCATAGGCCAAGTTGCACAAGAAGGATAGCTTGGAAAGCAGCTTGGTATCAGACCATGGAACTCGAACCAAAAACCTCCGGAAAATTTCAGGACTGGTTTCTCCCCCATCGTCTTCTGCAGTATAATCCACCGCACAACCACCCTCATCTCTGCCACATTCACAATCACCATTTTCACCCGCTTCACAGACGCTGTCTTCATCCGCATCGTCCTTTTTCTGCCTATCCCTCCATTTACTTCTGATTTCCACTAGTCTCTCCACCCAATTGGCTCTTTTGCTCTCCTCCTCACTGGCGCTCTCCCCAGACGTCTCCTTACTCATGTCCTTCGCCTTTATGCTCCTATGATTACTCGTGTCCGGATCAAACGAGAATGATCTCACCGAGTTTGGGAGAATGGAACTCGAAAACTGAAACGAGAAAATCCCCGAACGGCTGTTCTTTAGTTTTGGTTCTGTTGCAGCAGCGTGGATACGACTGCTGCGGTAACAAAGATGGTTGTCCGAATAAGACCTCCGCATAGTAGCACGACGGTAAAGGTCTTGGTTGGAGTTTGACCGGCGGAGACCGTTGTGCTCTTTGAAAACGTCTACCGTCGTGCCGGAAGCCGGAGAGGTAGGAATAACTAGTGAACTGCATCTGCATGGCATGATTGCACCAAAAACGCAAGTAATGAAAGATTTTTCCTGGAAAATATTCAAACTTCGTGTTAGCCAACAATGTGCAACTCTATCGCATAAGAAGCTTTGAGGGTTCAGAACTCATAATTTTTTTTATTTTTGGCCGAGTTCTTGAAAGCAAATCTGCTTATGGTAATGGACTTTTATAATCACACACTAATCAGCTCAAACTCCTCGTTAACAACGGATACACTGCGGAATTACGTTTTTGTGCACAAGGCTAATTACCAGTATTCGAATAATGCATTTTATGGTAAGGGTTTTGAAGTCATTTGACTTGCTAATTAGACAAAATGTAGCTTTAATCCTGACAAAAAAGACAGTGAAATTCAAGGAACATAATAAATCCATAAATTGTATACGTTTAGCATCTTAACTATGATGTTATTGTAAACATCGAACGCAGCATATGTATTATAAGTTGGATCAGATAAGCATATAATTAAGGTACAAACCACATGCCTAGGGACAATAATATCGGGGAAAAACCATGCAACTTTTTGTGCCTAAAATGAGATTGCATTGGAGCAAATAACGCCCGGTAACGTCTTGTAAAACAATTTTTGAAGAAGTGTTTTATAAAAACGAAAACGACAATTTTTTCTTTCTTTCTATGATTTGAGAATACAATAGTTTAATTTGAGAATGATTGTTGAAAAAAAAAAACATAGAAAACTCGTATGGCACTATAATAACTAAAATGTCAAAATAAATATAAATTCGTGTATGGTAGCAATGGTGCGGTGGTGGTAACAATGATGGTTGGAGTGGTGGTAGTAGTGAGGGTAATAGGGTGGAGATGGCAGAGGTGGTGGTGGCCATGGTGAGGGTAATGAGGTGAAGATGTGGTGATGGTGGTGGAGGGTCGTGCTGGTGGTCGCAACAATAAGATGATGGAGGTGGTGACGGCCATGGTGGCGGGAATGATGGTGGTGGATCATCTAGTGGTGGTGGTGGTGGCAGCATAGGTGCATGTGGTGGTGGCCATGGTGAGACAGCGACGACAGTGTTGGTTGTGGAAATTGTGAGACAGTGAAGGTGGTGGTAGCCATGGTGGCAAGGGTGATGACGGTGTAGGATATGGTGGTGGGAGGTGGCAGTGCCAAAGATGGTGGTGGTGGTGGTGATGATGGTGAGACGGTGTACAATGTTGTGGTCGTGTGGCTACAGTGATGGTGACATACATGATTTTATCTTTTATGAAATAATTTTTTTAAATGTGTGTGTGTGTGTGTGTATTCTTTTCTATTATTTTGAAAAATGTTCTTGAAAAATAGAGAAACATCAATTTGATTGTGTGTGTGTGTGTATTCTTTTCTCTTATTTTGAAAATTGTTCTTGAAAAATAGAGAAACATCAATTTGATGGTCTACAAAATTTAAGCTAAATATTATTTTCTGCATTTTTCGTTTTCTGAATTTATTTTTGGAAAACAATTTGTCAAACACATTTTTCACTTGTTTTTGTATCTACAAAACGAAAAATTATTTCAGAAAATGTTAACGAACGAGCATCTTGACGATCATAAATTCGAAGTTCCGTGAATATGTTACAAAGCATCTTGAGGATCAACTCCTCCTCATCCATTGAGGAGCCAATTCCTTTTAAAATTCAGTCTTTAACATGCCCAAAAATTTAGATTCTGATTAAAATTCCCTATAAAACACTAATTTCGAGATTACATTTATTTTCAAATTTTCCTATAAAACGCTAACTTCAAGATTCAAAATAGTCAAATAGGTTTTATTACTATTATTTTTATAGTTCTTGCCACGACATAAACAGTTTGTTTTGTTCAAATCCAAAAAATTTAAAGTTTGTTTGGCAACCATTGCGTTTTTTTTTTTTTTTTTTTTTATGTTTGAAATACGATGGAATATATGAGACAAAAAAAAAAGATGAAGAGACGAGAGAGAGAGAGGAATAAAAGTAACGAAGAAAAAAAAAACAAAATATCAAAAGTAAAAAAAAAAAAAAACCACTTTTTGCGTTTTCATTGTCTTTTATTGTACATGCTTTCTTCTATAACTCTCTTACCATTCTTCATCTGCTCTTCTTCATTCTTAATTTATCCTAATTCCTCGTTTATCCTATATATATATATTTTTTAGCTGACTCTAGCTAGCAAAAAAATATAACAAAAAAATGAAATGAACGAACTTTTACTTTCTCATTTCTTAAGCCCCTCAAAACCAACAAAACCATTGTACATCTAGCAAGTTCTGCAAATCTCACGTGTCCTCACTTTATCGAGATGAAACCAAAGCATAACAACCATGACAACCATGATGTCTGTCTTTGTAGTTTGTACTTGGAACCAAAAACGGTTTTTGGTACTTTTGATTTCAATGGTTTTACCTTGGCTTACCCGATTGACAAGATTATCACCAAACCCTAGCTTTAAACCATCCGCCATGCTCTGATCCGTTTAGGAATCGCACCTAAATTATTTTTCTAATCACTTTTCCCCTTAACATCTTCAGCCAAAACAAACTTGTAAATCTTTGTTTTGCGTTTGGAATTCTAGGACATATCTTCTAACTACTTTTCTTCTCTAGATATTATCGTAATTAATTAGTTAATTAACAGAAGCTTAGAGCAGACAGTGTTATTAAAAACAAGCTCAAAGACTCAAAACTCTAATTAGTTAATAAATCACAAAATACTAGAACTATAGCTAAAGTCATCATAATCTTTCTCAGATTAATCAACGATCGATGTGAGACAAACGACTTGACACTAACTAAAATGATGTCTTCACAAAACAAGAGTTTTTGGTCTTAACAAACATCTGATCATCTCAAATATAACGATTTTTCAAAGATATGTTTCTGGTTTAAACAAAAACGAACAGAAGTAGCCAATTTAACAAGAAGTCAAGAAAAATGAAAAACGTCACTCTTCGAAAAGACATTACAGAATCGAAGATAAAGTGGCCCCGTTAAAACCTTGCCGGAAAAAATCCTACCCGAGGAAAATCCAAACAAAGAAAACGAAGGTACCGAACACTCTTTATGTAATAAAAAGAAAGGGTTCCCAAAAGTCTTTATGTACTAAAAGAAAAAGCGTTATTTCCCTTTTTTTTTTGTTCTTCTCCTTGAAAAATGTGGGGAGGAATGAAGCCAATGCACTTATAATTAACAAAATGTAGAAGAACCCAGAAAAGATTAGAGATTATTTACCTCAAACAATTAACCCTAGCCTTCAAATGTCCTCCATAGCATCCACATTGTGAGGAAGATAGAGGACTGAAAGAAGCTCTAACAATGGAAGAGGATCGCCATATGTTTTCAGCCAGCCAACTGGAAATACCTGAAATTTTTCTGCAGTGAAGAAATGCAGTAGTGTATATCAGAACGGAATCTGGACTGGGACAATATTATAAATAATCGGGTATTTGGGACTAAATTTGTTTATGTTGCCTTTGAATTTGAATGTGGACTCGTTCTTCCTTGTGGGTTCTTAATGTTTCTGCAGAGAGAGAGGGAGTAAGATCTGGCTTTTACTATAATTGGAGGTTCTGGTTTTAATGTGTTTAGGGGGTTACAGAAACAGCCATGAAGAATCTGTTCACGTGGAATTGTGGAATTCAGGAGCTGACACCTTCGAACCAACTTTTTTATGGTCCAAAATACCCTTGTTTCTTTTTGTTTTTTCATGTTCGTTCATGCTCCCTCTAAGAGTTGGGGTTTCTTCTAGAACTTTTTTCTCAATAAGTTTTACTTCTAAACACAGTAGCGAAGCTATGGTTTTTTTTTTTTTGGGTCAAACGATAAATTTGTTAAATTAAATTTTAGATTAGTTAACAGACGGAGTTCAAACCATCGTCATGGTACAAAGATAACACTTATTTCTACCACTGTGATAAATGACCATTTGAAAAAAAAAACTGGTCGGTTCGGATCACCTCAATGGCTCGGCTTTCACTAATCTTGTTGAACGTTCAGTTTTGACCACAGTATTTAATATCTTAAAATATTTGATATAATGCATTTAAGAAATATCCGAGTTAAAGGAAAAGATTAAGGAACCGCTTGATAATCATTTCGTCTTTTGTTTTTAATTTTTGGTTTTTATCTTTTTGAAATCTAAAAATTGAAATCTTATTTGGTACCTACTTTTAATTTTCAATTCTTTTGTTTTTTGAAAGTTAAAAATTAAAAATAATTACCAAACAAGATTTCACATTTTTTTTTAAAGTGAAAATAAAAAACGAAATAGCCCCAAAGAAATTAGGCATGTTAATTGAAGGTCGTGAGGTTTGAAGCTTATCGTACTTCCATTGTGACAAAGTTATGGCTCCGTCTTATCTAAACAAATGCATTTTTAAATCTACACTAATGCAAAGCCCCTACAAAATGCACATAAGTTATAATCAATTTCTTGTCTCTTTTATACGAAAAGTCTAAAATGTGATCAGAAAATATGAAACAAACTATGACATTGTCTACCATATTTTTCTGTTTTTTTTAAAAAAAACAAAAATTGTGAAAGCCAAGAAAACAAGAACAATGTGTTTAGTAATTAGGGGTATTTTTGTCAATTTAGACCCATAGATTCCTTTTTCACCTGGGAGTTGGGAGAAGTGAATCCGGATCCTCTTTGTGAAGATCCCGGGTATCAGTAAATTGTATTCATTTATCGTACATCATGCGGTCAGTTTTCGTTAGGTATTGTTTGTGTTCAATTTTAAATAAAATTTAAAATGATTTTTGACCGCATGATGTACGATGAACAGACACGATTCATAGATCCCTGGAATCCTCACAAAGAGGATCCGGATTCGGGAGAAGCATTGTGACTATAAGAAGATGGTAAGTTACTCATTTTCATAAAAAAAGAAATGTTAAGCAGACTTTGAGATTTTTTACGAACTCTGTCACCTTAGACCATCTTCAAAGAAGATGTCAAATTGTTAAATTTAAAACATCAAATTTAAATTTGATGGCTGACTTGACAATTTAACATATTGTTAATATTTTCCTTCCACTCGGTATGTCAAAATTTATTGTTGCATTTATGTTTTTTGTGAACAAAAATAATAAAAGTTGGGTTGTTATTGGTTTAAAAAAATAAAAAATAAAAACTTAAAT